TTCCTTCCTTCCTTCCTTCCTTCCTTCCTTCAGGCAAAGAATTTTATTAACCTTTTTCAAACTTTATTCCCAGGCTTCTTCAGCTTCATTTGCAAAGAACGAATTGTGTATAAGTAAAAACTGGAAAGAGCTGCAGTGTCCAGGGAGCTGGGGCTTAAAAATATTAGAGATCTAGATTTTATCAGATCCATAAACAAAAGAGTTTTAAAAATCAGTCATAAAAGATCAGCTCCTAGTAACTTCTTCAAGTTTTATCTTCTTCAGAAGCTGACTCAATTCAGTTTGCCTCATTCTTAGAAGCCTTATCAAAATTCTCCACAAGATCTAGAACTTCATCATCATCATCCTCTCTAGTAGTAAGGGGTGCTTTCCATCCACAGATTGTTTGGCCAGAGCGTCAGCCAGTCTCCTTAATGATTGAATGTGTGAATTGTAGGAGAGCCTTAAAGTGGCCAACTGGTCCTAAATTGGCATCCTGGCCTTGCTCAAGCCTTATCAACTGGTCATTCCCTGGACTGAGAGAGACTGTTTATGGAGCCCACCTGTCTCCTTTAGGACCATAGATAACTGTCTGAAAAAATAATCTTAGGAAGAAGACCCGCAGTCACCAGGACACCAGACCCTGGCACTGAGTTAACTCCTGCAGCTACAGCTGTGTCTGGGGGCTTTCTTATAAAAACCTCAAGGTCTCTTCCCTGGGTTGCAGATGCTTAGTTCCTCGGCAGCCTCTGCCCCTCACTGTGACTTCTAATAAAGACGACATAGTCCTTGCCTGTCACACGTCTGCTCTGGTTCTTATTTCTTTACATTAAATGCCTTCCTTTTCTGCTCTCTGAAATCTAGCACTTAAGATAGTCAGAATGTCTGCACCAAGCTGGTTTATGTTGCTGGGATATATTTCTGTTAACTGCTTTGTCTCAGCATGGCCTGTAATGGTGAAAGCATTTGATGCCATAGCCGCCTGAACTTTAGAGTTGTTAAAGTGGACCACTGTTCATTGGTTTGTAAATATATTCACCTCTTCAATATCAGAGATATTGTTTACCCCTAACTTCTTTATTGTCTGCTGTAGCTGTTCTATGAACCACCTCTTTTTTCTACAAGCAGTTCCTTTGCCACCAGTGCACACTTCTGCCTGCCTTTGGCGAGTTTTTTCTGGTTCATGATAGTTTCTTTCATCTTGTTGGAGAGGAAATGGAGCCCTGCGGAGGAGTAGGGTTCTAACTCGGGGGGCCTCGGGCAGACCAGCTGAGATTAGGTACACACATGCGGGACCACAAGATGGAAGCTAGAGACCTTTGTTGTTTCTTTTTCTTAAATATTTTATTATTTTTTATTTTATGTATATGAGTGTATTTCCTGCATGTATGTGAGTGCACCCATGTCATGCAATGCCACGGAGGTCAGAAGAGGGCTTTGGATTCCCCTGGAACTGGAGTTAAGGACTGTTTGTAGCCGCCATGTGGGTGCTGGGAATCAAACACGGGTCCTCTGCCAAAGCAGTCAATGCTCTTAACCGCTGACCTATCTATCGTTCCAGGCCCCTTCATTTTCTCTCCTCGTTTTCTTGCTGTCCTGGGGATTGAACCCAGAGCCTTATAGATGTTAGGCAAGCATTCTACCATTGAACCAACCCTTAGCCCTGCTTCCTGTTTCTTCCTTGGCATTTATTACCACTATTCTATGTGCTGTGCTCATTTATCTTGTGTTTATTATCTTTCATTCCTTTTCCAAAGTGAGTCTGTGTCAGCAAGTATTTTGCTGCCTCGTGTACAGTGTGTCTGGAAAAGTACAGAGTACGATGCTCAGTTTTTAAAATTAAGTTTTTATTAGCATATATAGTAATGGATTTCATTATGACATTTTCATGCATGTATGCAATGCATTTTGACCATATTCACCCCATTAGCTTCTCTTAGCCCCGCCTGCTTGTCCCTTTCCTTTCCCCAGCTGGTCACCTTCTAGTTTTGTGTCTTTTTTTCTTTTGGTAACCCAATGAGTTTGATTAGGGTTACTAACATGACCATGGTGAGGGCTTATTTACAGGAGTGTGGGTGACTTACCAGTGGCTACACCACTGAGGAAAATGTCTTTCCTGGGGCTAGAGAGATGGCTCAGTGGTTAAGAGCACTGGCTGCTCTTGCAGAGGACCTGGGTTTGGTTCCCAGCACCTATGTGGTGGCTAACAACCATCCATAACTCCAGTTCCAAGGGATCTGACACCCTCTTCTGACCTTCGTGGGCATTGCATGACATGGGTGTGTTTACACACATGCAGGCAGTACACGCATACACATACAATAAAAATAATGAATAAAACATTTAAAATTTTTTAAAATTATTTTTATTGTATGTGTATGCGTGTATTGCCTGCATATAGGTAAGTGCACCCATGTCGTGCACAACCAGTGTTCTTAACCGCTGAGCCATTGCTCCAGTCCCTGAATAAAACATTTTTTAAAAGAAAAATGTCTTTCCCTTTTCTAGCACTAATTAACTGCCTAAGATTCTTGGGGGGGGGGGCACGGGGTTCACCAGGCATTAGAGGCATGTCATAACACCTGGCTCCCATAGTTTTCTTTTTTAAACCTAAATTATTATTACTTTATTATTTATTTATTTATTTATCGTATGTGTATGTGTGTGTGTGTGTGTGTGGAGGGTGTGTGTGTGCACTTGTGCACATGGGACTTGCATAGAGATCAAAGAACAACCTGCAGGAGTCTGTTCTTTTCTTCTGCTATGTGGAGCCCACTGATCAAACTCAGGTCATCAGGCTTGGTGGCAAGTGCCTTTACCCACTGAGCCACCTCACAGTCCCCGTTTCATTTTCAGTCCTTTTGCAACAAGTGTGAGCATACATATCTGCATATTAATTTGCTTTATGTCTTTCTATAAGTACATACAGCCAAGTGTGGTGGTACATACCTATAATTAGTACTCAGAGGCAGAAGCAGGAGGATTGAGAATTTGAGGCCAGCCTGGTTGCATCATAAGACCGTCTCAAAAAAAAAAAATACACAGTGGTACAGCAACGTAAATGTTTTCTGTCCACAGCTAACCCGCAGCACCATCCTGTATGAATGAGCCACATTTACTCGCCCATCTCTCTGTTGACAGGCATGTAGCTTGCATCCCCGTATTATCTCCCTTCAAAATGCTGCAGGAAACATCTCAATTCACATCGCTATTGTGGGTTCACTTATCCCTAGAAGGAAGATCACTAGATTGTAGGGAAAATTACTCTCCAAAGATCCTATCCCAATTTACACTCCCTCTGGAAATTTCTGAGTGTCCTCTCTTCTCCACTAAAGCCTCCAATATTTCTATATTTAGACTGTGAAACCTTTGCCCATCTGACAAGTGTGACGAAGTCCAAGGGTATCTCATCAGGTATTGTTTACATGTCTCCTCCCAGCTTCATCAGTCATCAATACTTAGCTAGTTATGGTCCAATCTTGTTTCCATACATTAATTGCACATGTCTCATTAGCCTTTCACACTATAGCGAGAGAAACAGAGAGAGAGAGAGACAGAGAGACAGAGACAGACAGAGACAGAGAGACAGAGACAGAGAAACAGAGAGAATAGTAAGGACTATAACTAGATTCTCATCCTGTCAATGCTGTTTGTTATAGAGCTCTGGCAAGTTTCCTTATCTCTATTATAAAATGGCATGTAATACAGGCATGTAATGCAGCAATAAGATGGCAGCTATTACCTAAATTTCGTGTGTTGAGTGGAAGGGGAAGGCAGCTTGATAAGGAGTCAGACATGTCTTGGGTTCACCGGGCACTTTGGGAAGGCAGGTCCTCTATCCAGACAGCAGTGTGCCACCTATAAAAGATTGGTGGGAAGAAGTGAGAAGAGTTGGGTAGCAAGGTCCAGAGAGGCGGGCAGCTGTGAGCACACAGAGGACAAACTCTTTTCTCACACATCTGTCCATGACTAATCTTGGAGCACAAATCATAGAAGCCCAACCCAAACATCTGGCATTAGGCTCTGAAGACAGGGGACTGGCTGAGGGGGAACAGGAATGGCCCCCTTCCCTATGCAGTCCCTCCACAAACTCTGTGCTCCTCCCTGCCCAGGCTGTTGTGATGCCTTCCTCTCACTGAGTTTGGTCATTTGGAAGATGTTCTGTAGATTTTGATAAACTCTAAGTTTCTTTCATATTTTTTATTTTGGGGCAGTACTGGGGTTTGAACCTAGGGCCTTACAAATGTTAGTCAAGGACTGTACCACTGAGATACAATCTCAGCTCTTTGTATGTATACATGGTGTGTGTGTGTGTGTGTGTGTGTGTGTGGTGATGGGTATATACGAGTGTGTGCACAGAGGCCAGGGGAGGACAATATGTGTCCTGCTCTGTCACTTGCCAATGAAATCCTTGAGACAGGATTTCTCACTAAACCTGGAGTTAGGCTGACAGCCAGAAAGCCTCAAGGGTGCTCTTAGCCTCCTACAGCACTGGGGTTACAGGTATGTGTGTGACTCCTCTTGACTTTTTACATGGGTGCTGAAGATTTGAACTCAGATCCCCATGCTTGAGCAGCAAGTGCTTTTACCCGTTGAGCCATCCCCCACGTCCCCCCACAGCCCTTTTAAATTTTTGCTTAGAGAAAGGGTCTTACCAAATTGCTCAGGTTGACCTGGAACTCTCAATCCTCCTGTCTTAGTCTTATGAGTAGTTGGTATTATAGCTGTGCGCCACTACTGGCCACATTTTCTTTATTTAATTAATTAATTTATTTTGGTCTTTTTTGAGACAGGGTCTCCCAGTAGCCACAGCTGGCCTGGAACTCACTATGTCGACCAGGCTGGCCTTGAACTCACAGAGATCTGCCTGCCTCTGCCTCCCCAGTGCTGGGATTAAAGGTGTGTACCACCATGCCCAGCTATTTTTAAGTAGCACCTTAAACATATATTAAGAACTCCTGATCTTGGCAACTTACACAGATAAACACTAAATGAAAATACAACTTACCTACAATTCACAGCACCATTCAATTCCCCTGGAACTGGAGCTACAGTCAGTTGACAGCCACCATGTGGATGCTGGGAATCAAACCCTGGTCCTCTGTAAGAGCAGCCAGTGCTCTTAACTGCTGAGTCATCGCTCCAGCCCCAAGATCTTTGTTTTAAAGTAGGCAGAAGAGACTTTTCTGAAAATGGAGAATTTTTTTTTAATTAAAAAAAATTGTTATTTTTTTATTTTATGTGTATGAGTGTATTGTCTGTATATATGTGAGGGGACCTGTGTCATACAATGCCCTAGAGGTCAGAAGAGGGCTTTGGATTCCTCTGGAACTGGAATTAAGGACAGTTCGTAGCCGCTCATGTGGGTCCTGGGAATTGAACCTGGGTCCTCTGCAAGAGCAGTCAGTGCTCTTAACCACTGAGCCATCTCTCTAGCCCCTGGA